CGCTCTTTTGACTTGAAACGTGCAGTTTGAAAAGGATGTGCTGGATAACACAACTGCTCTGTAAAAGGGAGTCTTTAGACCAGCGTTTCACCTCAGGCAGCCCGTGGTGTTGCGCAGGACCAGGGAGGTCTGAAACTTCATTTTATGGTCATCGTCGAAGGAGGAGCTGTTCCAGCCCGAGTGCGGCACCACCACCGCGCTGGTGAGCGGCGCCAGCGCGTCCCTGATGATGGTCATCTTCACCGCGTCGCACGACGACAGGTTCCACAGCACCCCTGCAGGAAGGGAGCGCGGTCAGAAAGGACTTGGCAAACACAGGCAAAGCAACGCTAACAGCTCAGAAGGCATCACTGTAGACAGGAGAAAGATAGTTTAGGCACAACTCAAGAAATAGAATTAGTCCGCAATGTAACGTTATATTATTCCAACATTATCGGTCAGCAAAGCTGCCACTGAAGATGCTCTTTATAGACTGAAATAAATATTTCCAAACTCCTGATGACAACGCGTTCAGCAGCCTTGCTCCAGCTGTCTGGCTGCTGTGCCAGCCCTTCGACGGAAGAGATGGCAATCACAATAACCCCAATATAATAATGTATTATATATATTATACAAATGAACTCATGTGACAAATACCTGTACAGACTGTAAGCACTTTGTTATTCTGATTTCACTTACCTGTGATAATAGTTTCATCTACCTAACTGCGTATTAAATAAACCAGATGAATTTCACTTGCAGTGACAACAGATGTACCAGTTATTTGTCAAAGACAATTGCTGCTGCTAATAATGAAAGTACAACTCATTCATTAAAGATGAAAAACCATCCTCAGGAGGAAAAAGCACTGTACTTCATTAAGAAATGTGGCGCTGGAAAATCCATTTTACATGAAAAATTGGGAATGAACTACAGCAGTAATAACAGCGCTAACTTTGAACTGGAGATCAGACAGACGGTGTTTCCAGTGGTGCAGACTGCAGCCAACGTCTCTGTATTTACATCCTCTAAACCCAGGCACACACGGAGCTGGGTGAGGTTCACTGGTTTAATTCTGACATCGGAGTTTGTGAATTACCAAACATCACCGGATCCTTCCCACTCCTTCACACCGCTGTTTACACGGAGCATTCCCAGGTCCCCACGCTCCAGGTCTGCTGCGGGGCCTGGCTCTGACAGAAGTGGATGCCACTGGCTTCACAACTGGGTCAAAATGTTCCATTTTGCTGAAGCTGGTTACAAAAATTTAAAATAGGTCTTCAAAAGTAAGAGTCGCTTTTTCTGAAGTAGTCATCTTTAATTAGAATTCAAGTTAAATACCATGTTTATTTGAAAAATCTTTTTAATTACGGGTGATGTGCTGTATCTCTCTCGACAGATAACAGCGTAGGTGGGTTTTTTTAATTTTTTTTTAAATAGTGACTAAATACCTTCTTTAATTAAGACTTTGACTTTGGTTGTCTGTGGAACCATCCCTAACATCTTAAAAGCACAGGTAATTTAGATGCATAAACCATGAATTTTGCAGGGCAGACAAGGCAGGTAACGTGCAATTCTAGGTTTAAATATTCCATTTACATAACTTCTTAAGGAAAAGACTCCTCCTGCTACAGAGACCGTGGTAGCTGCAGGGTATCTTAATGCTTGCTTGTGTGGAAATCCTGGAGGAAAGAGCCCGCGTGTGAACTCCAGGGCTCTGGAGACGCTGCTGTGCTCAGAGCCCTGTCTGCACTGAGCACTTTGGGACTGGGGAGGGCTCAGTGCAGACAGGGGGAGGGCTCACCTCCCCTGAGCCCTGCTCTGCGTGCAGGGAGGTACCTGGGCTTCGGAGCTTCACATCGGATGAGGGAGCCACTGAAACCTGGAACTGGTTAAAGGTGGACACTGCTTTCTTATATCCTCATACTCTTCAGTCTCCTAAAGCCTTCACAGACGAATCACCCCCATATTAAGAAAAGGAGACAGCAGATGTATGCGTACCCAGCGAGTCCGCCTTGTTTTGATGGAAATGGAGTTCCTGCATGTGTTAAACTGCAAATCACTTGTTATTTATTTCTGCACTTTCTGTCTGCACCCAGTACCAGGGAGGTTCATGGGTTACAGCTAAACCTGCGACCTCGAGAGGCGACGAGCGCGCACAGCCGCTCACCGTCGCTCTACCAACAGGCTGGGCGCTGCTATCAACTGCACACTGGCCATTTTCTGCCTGTGCTTCAACACACACTTACAGAGTTTGGGCCCATCTTATGAATGCTGCAGGATCGCATTTAAAACCTTTGTCAGCACATGATAAAAAACCCCTGTAATAAATCAAGTGTAAGGAGTCAATAAAGAAACCCGTGTTTCTGTCCAAACGTACCTGTCACGAGCTCCTTGATCTCAGCATCCACAGACTTCCTCAGCAGCCGCAGGAGGGCAGGGATCCCACCCACGTTCTTCATGGCTATCTTGTTCTCGTCGGTGGACTTCCCGTACACGAGGTTTCTCAGGGCGCCACACGCGTTCTTCTGCACCTCCAGGGCCCTGTGGTCCAGCAGATCCACCAGGTGCTTGATGCCCCCCAACCGGCACACCTGGAGAACACGGGGCCATCAGCACAGAGCCAACACTGCTCACGTTTAGCTTCATCACTGGCAAACAAGGGTGATTTCCTGTACCTCAGAACAGACCTTTAGGGAATACTGGGAATACGGAGTTGCAAAGGTGTAAATGCCATCTTTTACTCTTAGCTACACACAGAAATATCCATTCAGACTCGCATATATCCGGTCCTGTTGGCACCTCCGGAGTTCTGTTTCAAAGGAAACCTCTGCAGAGGTTTTGTAAAACAAATAGATGTTTATATTCTCTGCTTTAAGCAGGTTGGTTGCATCTATTTTTTATTATGTATTAGAAAAATAATAATTAGCATTGTGTTTTGAGATGTCGTTTCCATGTAGTACTTCTCTTTGTTCAAATTAACCTACAGAAATTATAAAAGTGTTTTAGAATTCTATAGCATTTCCTAAATAAAAAATATTTTAATGAGATAAATAAGCTATAAAAATATTTAGAATTGTTCTTTTTCAAGACAAACAATTATTTCTGTTACTAAATAATGAAGCAACAGATAACCGTTCATGGTTCAGTTGAATCTCCCTCTTGCTCGCCAATACAGCACATCACATCTACACTACGCACCCGGAACAGATACAAGTTATAAATGACAAAACAGCTTCATCACTTTTCAACTTGTGCTCAAAACCTGGCGAGACACAGGTTTTGTGCAGACAATTCAAAACAAAGCTGGCCTAGACATCCATTCCCAACATTGTATTTCGCTGAGTCATTGCTGCAAGGTGCAGCAGCTCTTGCTACAGCCATTTCCGTCTCTCCATTAAAAAACTCAGAATTGTTGTGAATCAACACACTCATGAACTAAAATACCAGCAGTGTTTGTACCTACAGGCAGATACTCGGTGCTCAGCAGTGTAATTTATTAAAGCTGTGCGGTTTCACAGCTAATTTAAGTGGCAAAGACCTCCACCACCCAGGTGAGAGTTCCCTGTGCTTCAGCAATGCAAACGTTTTAGCTCATTTTGCTCGGCTTTCCATGTCCTCGATAGTCAGGCACATTAATCTGGCCTTCAGTGCAGCAATAAAATAATACACTTAAATAACGAATGAAACACAAAAGTACTCCTCAAATAAGGCTTTTGTCACTACAACTGCGACCCTTTCCCATCGCAGAGCTGCTGGCGCTGCCTCTGCCTTAGAGGGAACACGAACAGGAGCTCCCTGCTGCCATGGACACCCCGCGTCCAGACCCTGCTGAGCCCTGCCCTCAGCACAGCCCCTTCCCAAAACCAAACACCCCAAACCCTGACCCCAGGCTCGTGTTCCCAAATGCAGGAACGCTCCCTTCTAGGAGCCGACCACTGGTCCTGTCACAGCATCCTGGGACTCCAACATTGAGACCATTCCCACTGAGAAGAAATGGCCGTGCAGTACAGAAACCTGCTCGAAAAGGAGGGGTTTCCTGTTCCAAAACTGCACCCCCCAGGCGGAAGGCAGGACACAGCATTTACTGCTGCGACTCTTCTTGTCCTCCAGATCAAACCCACCTTTTATGTGGATAAGGTTTTGTGTGCCTCATTAGACAGTATCACATCTATGGCCCCTTATACCTGAACTGGTATAAGAACATATGAAATATTTCCAGTGCTAAGGAGGAAAACACTTGAGACACCACTTCACACACACCACACAAACCAGTGCCACACTCAAACCCTGTTTTAACTTCAGGCATTTTTCTTTTAGTTTTGTGTACTTTTGAAAGAATTAAAGCAGACATGCCACAATTTCTAACACAAAATTCTGTAATAAGGAAAATGGAAACAGTGAAGAAACACAAGATCTCCTATAGATGAGCATGTGCAGACAAAGAAAACCCCAAGAATTCCTAAATAAGCTGTCGTATTCCTTACGAAACAGCAAAGCTATAAATCTGCCTACAAACGATTAGCACCGTGATCTTTTCTGGAGCATCAAAACCACCAGCAGCTCCTCATCTGCCTTCAGCAACAGGGAGTGACGTTGGGCTCTCTTCCCATGAAAACCACACCAACATCTATTAACATAAACAATACCTACACTGAAGATAACGGACAACGCACACATACACGATAGGAACGAAAAAGCAGACTCCTTCAGCTCAGTCGCCCACAGCCGCTCTGCAATAAGAGCAGCTCTTCAAATGCAGTTTCTAGAGTAACAATAACCTGAATTTCGCTCACCCACAGCACACTGACAGAAATGCTATGCTCTACATATTTCTATGGTTTTTCTCTTTTGCTTGACAGTTCCCTACGATGCCTTAAATATCTTGATCAAAAGCAGGGGAAAGCCTTCCAGAACTGCTGTTTTTCTTGGTCTCAGGTCATCGACAGCTACACAGAACAGGTAAACTTCCTTCACAACCCTGCTACGTTACACGACTTGAGTGTAATGTTTTATTGCAATTTCCACGCAGCCTCTCATGACAGGGAGACTGCGTGTGATTGTGTAACTACACACACCCAGACACTCCAATATTATCATACCTCTGGTACAAACACAACACGAAAGGGCCCAGAATTCTGTGTTATGATGGAAACAACAGGAAACAAACCCCCCACACAAAAACCCCAACAAACCCCACCAAAACCAAAGAGGGTGAGAGGGGTAGTTTGTCTTGTACAGCATCCCAGGACAGAAAGCAGTTGCACGTACCTCTGTCTTCACCTTGTTATCCCCGAAGCAGAGGTGCTGCAGGTACGCGGCTGCGTTTGCCTGCACCGACGGGAACTGGTGCTGCAGCATGTGGATGACCTCGGGCAGCTCCGGGTCGCGCCAGGCAAACTCCCTTCATCGCAAACACGTTCAGGAGAAGGCGTTAGTTACAAATCCATCCCTATTTACTAAGCAGAATTACTAGAGCATCCCAATGTTTGTCACCAACTCTGGTTTTGCTCTGAGGTGTCAGGGCTAGGAGGAAACCCAGGTGTGTTGCTGTAACTGAGTCACATCACTTTCTAGTCTCCTAATTGGAAAATGATGCTTTATATCCTATGTTCATCAGTCAGCTTGGTTGATGATCACACAAATATATACATATCTTTATCATCTATATATCTCTATCAATACCTATATCATCCACATCTACATATCTATATCATCTACATCATCTACATCTACATCATCTATATCATCTACATTTATATCATCTACATTATCTACATCTACATCATCTACATAATCTACATTTATATCATCTACATCGTCTACACCATCTACATCTATATCATCTACATCTACATCATCTATATCATCTACATCATCTACATCTACATCTATACACACACACACAAATTATACCAACTCAAACACTGCAACCTAGAGAAATCTCCCAAAACGTACACATATAACACAACAGATGTCCACTAAAAGCACTGCTCAGGTGCATCCCTTCCACACAATTTTTCTCCCTAGTCTGAAGTCAATTATACTTCAGCAAAAGCTGTGCAGCCCAAAGCTTCATCATCGTGATCAGATGCAGGAAGTTTGCATAAATTTGAGTTACTCAGGGACTGTAAACTTAAAATCATTGAAATCAAGTCTCCTCCATTAAACAAAGTGATTTTGTGCAGACAAATCCTGGAGAAGTCATTAAACACATCCACGCCCAATCCACAGATTTAGAAACACACCCTTCAACACTTGCTGGGCAAATTAAAAAAAAGGATCCAAGTAAATTTAAGAGGGGTGTTCCCAGCCCAATGCCAGCCCTGCAGCCGGCTCTCCCCAGCGTCCCCACAGCCACCAAAAAGGGACAGTTCTGTTGTGTGCCTGCTCTGAACTGCTCAGCAGCTATGGGGTTTGTATCTCCATGCTAATGGTAGGAAGGCCATGGGGAAAGCTGCCTCTCTAATAAAACCAGCAGCTTTCAGAACACTCACTCCTATTGCGAGCGATGCTCTCAAATAGCCCAGTCTGAGGCTGCTGTCACACAGCCCCTCACCTCTGCAAACCAGGAACTGGAACAGATTAAAATGTAAGGCAGAACTATTCCACTGTGAAATTACAAGACGAGAAGGTGCATCAGCAATGACAACTGAGTCCAAATCTCTTTAAAGTTCCTCGTTATGAGCATGGAGCATCCCTGTTACATCTTTTCTTGTAAGCCATGCCAGAGCAGGGCAGCAGCTGGCAGCGCTGCTCAGAGGTGGGATTCTGCCCCTAACGTCATGCAGATGGGTGCACCACCTTTTTTTAAAAGTTAATTTGGTGCCCTGATGTCTCGATGTGAAGGCTCTGTACCATGAACCCCTGGGCTTTGGCAGTCCCTCTTTAAACACAAGGTTTTAATGGATGGTGTCTCTCAAACTGTAACATTACACTCGTCTCATGCCCACACTGCGTACTTACACCTACAACAACGAGCTAGTCAGTATTTTTGAAAAATGAATGTGTATTCACGTTCAAAATGGTACATTTTTAAACTTACATTGTTCTGAAATTTAAGCAGGCTGCTCACAAAAAACCCATTCAAATACATTAGGCGTGCACTTTCCAGTTTCAAAACCCTGAAAACTTCCTGCAGTGTTGCAGGCTGCTCTGCAGAGTTACTAAAAACCATTTGGAATAATCCAGTCAGTTCTCAAATCTGCACGCGCTCCCCGTAACAACTTCTACATGAAAACAAACACGGAAGAAAAGCGTGACAACCAAGTGCACCCAAGCTGTTATTTCCAACTGCAACAAAGCAGGCTGCATTCGTTACCGCAAAGGTGTAGACCTCAATACTTCGAGAGCCATGACTGTTTGAACGTGAAGCTGGAATTCTGAGTACAGAGTGCTGCACGTACTGAGGGGATGCACTCAAAACCACACCACGGCTCTCGGGGACTTGCCTGGGGTCCTTCTGGATGCTGTCAATGGACGGCGAGCGCGTGGTGCCGTCGTCGTTGGGCGTCGCGTGCGGCAGCCTGCTGTAAGTGGCCTCTGACAGCCGATACTGCACCGACCTGTAGGGTTCCGCATAGGTAGCTGTTGTGTTCAGAGCATAATTATTTCTTTGGTATGTGAGTGTGCTACGCTGACTGGATGATCTTTGCAGATTTCCGACTCCTAGTACAAAATCAGTATTAAAAACACACTGGGTAACCAAGGTCTAGTCAAGAGAAGAAGCAATACGTGGTTAAAAGCATAAGCAAAAAAAATACAAAAATCAGTCTGTGCCAACAGTACTAGAAAGGGGAAAATAAGTGAGAAAAACTTATATAATTTATATGATATTTTCCTTTTCCCAACTACAGCCACACTTTCCCTGACAAAAAGCTAACAAGGTGATTTCAAAGACTAAGCTGACAGTTTCAAACCCAGGATCGTGTATTTTCCCGACCTAACAGCGGCTGTGGTAGCTTTTGTTCCTCCAGGGTAAGTGAAACCAGGCAGGCAAGCAAACAGAACTCAATTTCTAGTTACATTTCCTCCGGACAAACTGATTTGTTTACTCAAAGTTGTACAAGACAGGAGAATTACAAAACCTGCTATCTCCTTCAACATTCTGTACTCTCAGTACTTCAGTTACATTAAAGAACCTTAAAAAGCAATTTTAAAATGTGAGAAAACATAGAATCATTTAGGTTGGAAACACCTTTAAGATCCAGTCCAACCATTGACCCAGCACTGCCACCTCCACCACTAAACCAGGTCCCTCAGCCCCCCAGGGATGGGGACTCCACCACTGCCCTGGGCAGCCTCTGAGAACCCTTTGGGGAAGAAATTTCCCCTCAGATCCAATCTAAACTTCTACAGAGTTACTTAGATAAGTCACTGCAATATTTTGAGAGTTTTTGGAAATTATTCCACTGGACAAATTATTGACAAGCCTTAAAGAACAAACCGCACTGCAACACGGATTACATTTCTCTTCACAGAAAATCAGTTCTAATACTAATCTAGCGCCTATGCACTTCATAATATATGAGCAGCCATTCTGTGAAATACTTCAGAAATATTTCAGTTTCAGTACATGATCTTCAGATGTAGTATTTTCACATTACTCTTTGACAAGAAGCGGGGTAGAACCACCAGTATTTTTACTGTGAAAGATGTGGTGGGTAATTTGAGTGTGCAAGCCATCGTTTACTGCACTGATGAACAAAAAAACCATGAACCAGCTCAATTGATGCACAGAGAATGCAAGAGGAAGCAATGATTTTTTTTTTGTCTCATGAAATACGCTCTGCTTGGATGTACCCAAGCATGTGGTATCAAACAGAAAATACCCTGACCCGAAGCTGACACTGATCTATAGCCCCAAGTATTTCCTGCGACCATCACAGAAGCTTCTCAACTCCCACTGGTTACTTTAAGTCCGTCAAACCTCATTCCTACCTCCATTACAACATCAGTTTTCCCTTCCAAACTGGCACTGCACACCTCAGCCCTGCTCTCCCCTCAGCGCGGGACGCGTGGTTTCGGGACGCGGCGCCGTCACCCACCTGAGCCCGTGCGATACAGCGCGGCCTGCGAGCCCTGGTGCAGCTCCACGGCGCCGTGGCTGGGGCTGCGGTACACCGGGCTGTAGTACGTCCTGCCCTCGTAGATGGGGGTGATGTGCAAGTCCGGGGACACAGCGGATCGCAATTCCTGCCCCAGCTGGCTGTGCTGGCTCGCGTACGAGCTCCTCAGGCCTAAAGCAAGCAGAGTGAAATACGTACATGGCCCATATCAGGTGAAAATAATAAAGATGTCTTTATTATTAACAACATGTTAGTTATATCTACACTTATACAGATTTATTCATTAAACTTCTTTCCATTATTAAATGATCCACAGCGAAAGATTCACTGACAAAGCAGCATTTCTCTGATGAAAAGTTTTCTCTGTACACTGACAACTTTAAGTTTTCCAACTCAATTTTTTAGTAGCACTTGCAGTTTGAAGTCTAAAGCACAGAGTGAAAGCTAAGTCAGCACGGATTCAGCAGTGATCAGGTAAGCTGTGAACCTGCTGAAATCCAGCTGTGAAACGGGGCACAGCCTAAGGGGGGTCACGGTCTTGAACATGAAACAACTCGAGGCAGGAGGAACCAAAGCCAGTGGCAGTGGCAGCAGGGATTTCAGTGTGTGAAGAGAAGTCTTTATAAAGGTTTAAATAGCCCGTGATGCACGTGTATTCCCTCTGAAGAAACATGAACACTAATTACTGATTTATAGCAGAAAATGTAAGGGTTTTTATAACACTGAGAGATGTTTACTCATTGTTTATAACACAGAGCACAGGAAAGTCACACCATTTCAAGGCCATAAAATAAGATGTCTCTAAGCTTGACTACTACAGCGGCTAATCACTTCCTTAATACTGAAACCATTAAATTTAAAGCATCTGTTTTGGAATTACTGATTCACTACCTCGATATGCCCAGCTTTCTAAAGATGCATCAGTTCAGCTGTTCAGACAAGGTGAGATTCTCAAGCAGTGGTATCTGAACAACGTAACAACACCTGAGAGTACCAGACTGCTGTTCCATGTGCACTGCGTTCACTCAAGCCACTGAATCGCCTTTCATGGCCAACTGATGCTTTTTGCTCCCCTTACCAAACGGTTTTGCAAACAGAGGTGAGGGAGGAGACACCTTACACCTGCTGGGGAAAATTTTGGGATTTCATCTGGTATAACAGTTTAAAAGAAAAAAAGCAGATGTTCAAAAGAGCTCGTGGTCTAACTGCACAGACACCTTGGCTGTGCTCCTTTACACCAAGGTCAGAACAAAACCAGTAAACACACTCAGAACTTAACGTAAAGTAACTGCATCTTAATAGGAACTGCCTCTCAGATAAACAGATTTGGCCTTTTAGGCCTTACTTTAAGCTAATATTACAATGATTACCCTACATTTAAGTGGAAGGACTTTGAGATAGCCTAGAAATGTTAGGGAGAAAAAAGGCTGAAACTGGGTGATAGTAAGTTACTTACTTTATGAAGGAATTAAACATAAAACTAGATCTAGTTTAGTATGTGTATTTACTTTGTGTATTACCTGCACGCACACTTCAGTGTACTTCAAAAATACCAAAATGCCTCTGTTTGGAAGACTGAGAACTTCACTTAGCTACTTAAAACACAGGATTTAATTTAACGCACGGCTAGCAATCTGGCAATTAAGGAGAAAGCCAGCATTCACTGTGATCGTGGGGTACGACTGATGCGTGGGGTTTGACTGTTCACAACTGCTTTGACACATCCGCCACAGTCATGTCCTATGCTACAACGTTTCATCCACAAAACCACTACTGCCTTCCTGGTGTAGGTTTGTACCGAGTTTTAAGCCGTGTCTTTACCTTTTTACTAACCTGTAAGGCTATCTGGACGCGGAGGGATCATCCTCTCATATATTTCATACTGCTGCCCGTACTGCTCGATGTCGTGAATGGTTCTTTGCAGCGTCGACCCCAAATGCTGTGGAACCGCGGCCATGCCAGAGCGCTTCGGGGAAGAAGACCCCAGCTGAGTTTGGGATGGAGAAGCTACTCTGGTCTGCACGTCAGCAAGGGCCAGGGGAGAGCCCACTCTGACCGAAGCTTGGTACTGGGAGGTCCCGCCGTTGGGATTTGCCGTCTGCCGGGAGGTGACCGAGCCGATGCGCCGCACCGCCGTGGGCGAGACGGGTCTCTGCGCAGCGTACGGGGACGCTGCCCGCTGCGCTGGCAGAGTGGTGGATGAGTACGCGTGGGAAGCCAGGGACCTCTGCTCGGTGACCGATGGAGAACCATAGCCACTGCCCAGAGACGCTCGCAGCGACCCCCTCGAAGGGGAGACGCCTGTGCTGACCATGTACGAGGGAGACTGGGCTCTGGATGGGACTGAACTGACTCGCCTCATGACTCTGTTGGTAGCAGTGTTTACTGAGGGCTGTTAGAAACAGAAACGTTGATTAGTTTTATCATTTAGGCCATGCAGTGGATACTTTTCTCCCACAACACAGAGAAGGCAACAAGAAACACACACAACTTAACAACATATAAAAGCAGCTGAAGAGCAGCTTTTACGCCAACGTCATTCCCTCAAGTTTTCCTCTCTTTTAATAACCAGCATTTCTTAATATATGAACTGGCAATGTAACATTAAAAAACATCTGTTCCTCATGAGAAGCTGTGGGTGCCCCCTCCCTGGCAGTGCCCAAGGCCAGGTTGGATGGGGCCTGGAGCAGCCTGGGCTGGTGGAGGTGTCCCTGCCCATGGGGGTTGGACTGGGGGGGCTGTGAGGTCCCTTCCCACCCAAATCATCCTATGATGCTATGTTAATATACACCTAGGCTTTCTCTCCTCACTATTCTACCACTTTAGAAATTCAGGAACAGTATTGCAAAGAGTCCTATATAAGACAATAAAGTTTGACCAATTACTGTTTTACTGTCATTCTGATTAATGAAGAAGAAGGGGGAAAAACCCACAAGCAGTGGAATGTATAGAAGCATAAATACCACCTCCCTTTAAGCAGCATGCCTGCACACAGGCTAAATTCTAAGAGACTTTCCTCAATCTCACAGCTGAGTATTAAGTGAACGATAGTTTCTTGATGTCGTATTAGCAGCACACTCCGCAGTGAGGAGTTTTACTTCATCTCAGCTGCAGTGCCTGAGCCAGATCACACATGTGCTGATTTCAGCAAACAACTCTGTCTGCTGCAAGCCATTTCTGCTCTTTAACCCGGGAAGGTGTTACAAGCAAGTGTAATTTAGTAACACCAATTCCAGGCTGTACAAAGGCAGGTCTGGCTGCACAATTACCATCCCTAAGCTGCGTTGCAGACAGCGTGCAGACAGATAGGAGGTGTACCGCTCTGGGCATACCTGGACTGATGTCTGCCCTTCGGCTCGCGAGCTCCTCACCAAGTGGTTATTGGTGGTACCAATAAGGGAGTGCTGCTGTCTGCTTTCTGACTTGCTCACGTTTTGGCTGTTATGGAAACTGCTGACTTCCTGGTAACCACTGTCAGAATAAGAATTCATTTGTGTGGAACTTCTGGAGTTACCTACAGACCCTGGGGATACGAAGAATAAAAGCATTGAACAACTTCACACACAAAAAAATATACGTAACTTTGTTACTTTTTGCATCTGTAATTGTGTTACATTTTCACACAGTCAATACAGAAATACAGTCTAGTATTTAGAAAGCACACAACAGACCCTCACTTTCATGGAGAGATGTCTGCTCGGGCGAGTAGAGGTTCCCTTGGTCTGGCTCTGTCCTAACGTCATAGGCATTGGCATGGACGCTCTCTGGCGCTCGGGGTTTGCTCACGCTGGCGGTCGGAGGCTCTGAAAGAATAAATTCAGTAGATAAATCCAAAGTTGCGTATCTAAGCTTCCTGCAAACTCAGTAGTGACCATTTTCTCACTCACACTAATGAAGAACTTACTTCCCACATAGACAGAGTCTACTGGAGGCCAGGTATCATCTCCCAGGCTGAACAGGAAGAACATTAATAATAATAATGTCTGAGAATCTTGTTTCCTGTAGTTCTGATGTAGTCCTACAATTCCCATTTTTCAAATACATGTTCCAATGTATTTAATGACCAACGTGACTGATGACCTGTAAGTGCACTTTGCAGAGCAGAGCTACCGCTTGTCCTAGGGTCCTCCTATCACAAGAGCTTCATCAGTCAGGGGCTGAGCTGGATTTAATCTGGTTGTGTTCCCCCAACAGAAGTTACTGGAAGTTCTATACATTTTTACTTCATATGCTGCTGTCCAAATGTTTATTTTTTAAGAGCTAACTTAGGTTCTAAGAACACAACTGAACTTTACAGAGAGCAAAGCAAAGCGTGACTGTGCTGAGAGAAAGCAAAGGAGACATCACAACCCTTATGAAGAAGGGAAAAAGGTAAATATAGGCTGGAAAACACTAACAAAGGTGAGGACATGGAACAAGAAAAACAGAACAAAGATTATTTTGATTCTCAAGCTGATGAATGTTTGAACACTATTCAAATATGTCAAAAATAATTTAAAAAATCAATGCACGTTAGAAATCACAGGCAGTCAGCAGAGCTATTTATCAGTAGCACATTCTCAGTCCAAAACCATCCAGTAAAACATGGCACTAATTAATTTACTATAATAATAATTTAACGACCCAATCTAATGAAGGTTTAATAAGCAGTGTTATTACACCTCCATTCATTTAATCACTGGTGTGCCCAGAAACAGTGCAGAGAACCAGGACCGCAGTAACCCCTGCCTGCAGCTGCCCTTGCTCCAACGCAGTAACAGGTCCTAAGGGGATGACACCTTCTTTAGAATGAAGAATGGACACTGAAATCACCCATATTCAACATTTTCATCTTCAGTCTTTTCTGTTTAAACACCACAAGGCCCCGCTATTTGAGTTACTGGATCTCACACGATGGTCGGTCAGCGTCAAGCTGACAAACAACCGATTTTGGGAGGAGCACGGGAAGAACAGGGCTCGATTGTGCGGGGCCGCACAGCCGCTCCCAGGCGGGCTCTGGACCACGACCCCGCTGCCGTCGCACATTTGCCACCAAGCAAACGCCCTCACGATGCTAAAAGACAGAGGCTGTGTAGGGCCAGTAACAAAGGCAAGAATGCACAATAAAGTGAATTGTTGTCCTTCTGTCTCTCTGCTGCCGTAAATCATGAGGACAGGGCACTGAATAAAATAACAGCCTGTTTATAAACGGCTGCTGATCTAATATTCTATTTATAAGCATCTACAAAGCAGCATCATTGTAGATTTGTTCACAATTCTGCATAATTCTACTGGCATAAAGCAATTACAGCTGCGGTCACGTCACACCACCCGCTGACACAAACTGCTATCGGCAGTCAGGGAAAAAGGTGATTTAAGGGAGCACTTCCACTCATCTTTAACTTCAGCACTTTTCAGATCGCAGCTGGTAAAGCATCACCTCGTGACACTTCTTTAAATAAAGTTCAAGAGGGAATCTGTAGGTAAGTAAAACCTACAGTCATGCTCCGGTCACAACACAAACATTAAATGAAGCCTATATCAGAAAACTCTAAGCAAAAAATGTACTTGTGTCAAGCAGGCCCATTTCTGAGCAATTACTGCAGAAAAGCCTTACCTGAGATGCAGAGATGTGATAAAAATACAACTAGATTTATATTGATGCATAGAGTATTTAAATAGAAATAGGGTTTTTTGGTAAGTGACTGCTTGGCAGGGATGTGCACAGGAGACTTCTAAAGAAAACAAGCACACACATGAGAGGAGAAATAGAGGATAAAATACAAACACAAACTGGACGGATAAAAGAAAGAGAGGAACTGGGGCAAAGTCAAGGAGAAAAACGAGCAATGGACAAAGAACAAGTTACAGAAAATAAAGAAATGGAACACAACGGATGAGGTAAATGGGTAAAACAAAAACTGAGGCATCTTTACAGTTGTGAACCATCCTGGAGCGTTACAGGACCAGGGGAAACGACGTGGTTCAAAAACTCCCACTGAAAGAGTATGACTCGTTTCTCAACTACCTGATAAACCAAATCTGACTTCTGCTAAAGGCATTGCTAAAAGAGCACCTGCCAAGCACCACCATGACCAGCAAAACCCCAGTTCCAAGACAAGTGGGCTGTTGGGAATATCAGATTTGAGAGAATGGGCAAGGCTGACGTGTGCCCCACCCCAGCCGAGGCGACGCCATGAGGGCAACTGGGACCACCTCAGCAAAACTACACACACGTCTAAGGGCTTAGTGCAAATGAAACAAAGTACGGGAAGGGGAAGGAAAAGCAGATGGTGAGACTTACTGACCTAAAATAGTCACAATTATCACAGCCATGAACGCGCTGCAGTGAAGCAGCAGGTAACTGCTCTCTGCACAGCAGAACCTGGGTGCATCCTGATGTAAAGATGTGATTAACACAGCTTTTATGAGCTGCCCAAAATTCCAGTTGCACTCTGATGCCACGAGACCGGTTCTGCTCGATGTGACGTTGTGTCAAGGGCACAGCTGAATCGGAGAAACAGGACCCAGTGCAGAAGGCACCTTATGGGGGTGCTGGTCCCACCTCCAGCCCCACTGCCTGGGCTTGAGCGGTGGCTGTGCACGTGTGCCCCATGGCTCCAACGAGAACACAGCTGCTCAGGCGTTGACTCTAACGTTAAATACTTGATCTGATGCAAAACCCAACCAGTGAAATGCTCTGATCTGGGAGGGACAGCTTGGATTATTTCAGCAGACATGGGAATGGCACTTCTGATATGCAGCCCTACCCATCCCACCTCCTAAACACGAGTAGATGGAGAAGTTCTGCAAGACAAATGCTTCTTGTTTTGGAAAGAAAGTTCAAGCCATCCCGAGATACAAAACCAACAAAAGCACTCTCAGAAAAACCTTTGCTCATTGGAGGTGTTCTCAGTTAAGCAACAGGATCTGTGAAAGGAAAATCTATTTTCAAGCTTAAAGCATACGCTGTTATTTCATGATCCTTACCTGCCAAGGGAAGACTCAAACGTATTTTGGAATTAATTGCAAAGGAGACCAAATACACAAGATGTTTGTTATGGTCACATCCCACAAGAGCTCAAAGGCACAAAAAGGTGCATGAAAAGCACCTGCAAATACCCCTGAGCCAACCCCAAATTTAATTAACAGAGGAACACACAAGTTCAGGTGTGAGAACGAGGACATTACAGTTACACTCTAGAAGAGACACCTGAAAAAGATAGGTTAGCATTGCTGTCAATGTCCAGTTCACTTCAAAACAAGCAATCAATGCCACGGAAATAAAGGGTTTTGGGCTTAAAGCAAAATGTACACATAAAAGATAATACCTGATGATCTCCAAGGAAATGATTTCTCAGTAGAGCTGCAGGAAAAACAAAAACATATCACAAAAATGAACCGCATGGCCAGTTTGGATTTCTTTTTCATTTCTTTAACCAAAGCATATTAAATATTACAAAAAACCCAGCAGACAGTTTCAATAGCCCACATAAATAACACTGCAGCACTTTACACCTGACAGCTGAACCGTCAGTTACTGATTTTAATGGGGTATCAATCAGCAGGACCCCCCCAAGCCGTGTCACACCTGCAGTAGGTGGGTAAGCACAGGACTTACAATACACACATCCTAAAACAGGTGTAAAGGTGCGGATAAAGCAGCACACGGCAAGCGCTCGGTTGCGTCCCTGCCTCAACTCACCCCAACACAAGCACAGCCTGAGATGAGGCTGTTCAGCCCGGGAGAGACTGAGGGGGGCTCATTGGTGCTCATCAACATCTCAAGGGATCTCATTGATCTCATCAATATCTCAAGGGATCTCATCGATCTCATCAATATCTCAAGGGATCATTGATGCTCATCAATATCTCAAGGGATCATCGATCTCATCAGTATCTCAAGGGATCATTGATCTCATCAATATCTCAAGGATCTCATTGATCTCATCAATATCTCAAGGGATCTCATCGATCTCATCAATATCTCAAGGGATCATTGATGCTCATCAATATCTCAAGGGATCATCGATCTCATCAGTATCTCAAGGATCTCATTGATCTCATCAATATCTCAAGGGATCTCATCGATCTCATCAATATCTCAAGGGATCATTGATGCTCATCAATATCTCAAGGATCTCATCGATCTCATCAATATCTCAAGGGATCTTTCTGCAATGATTATAAGCTGCTGTTTTCCAAACCAAAAGCCATTTAAAGGAAAAACAGACAATTTCATCAGATTTTATGATGCCCAAATATCAGCACGAGACTGTGATTTGGGGTAAGCTGTATCTATTTCTAAGTGAGTATTATCTATTTTGCTTCTTTCTAACAGAGCTACCAATTACAAAAAACTTCAGCACAGCAACATGAACAATACCAGATACTTATATTTCTAAAATAAGAACAATCATTTAGGAGCCTTTTTTGGAAATGAAGAATTTGTGTATAGAAAGGATCCTAAATTTGCATGCTAGCACAAACTGAACTACAATAAAATTTAGGAGAAAAAGGAGAATCTGAATGCGGGGAAAAGGAGAATTTGAAAGCCAATTTCCCCTTGAGGTGGTAGCAGAAATTTTACTACACATTGGCTATTCTTCCCCTCACTCTACAATTTTAGTGTCTTTTGGGGTGCTACACTGATTCTTCCTTTAGCATGTACAGACTGGACCAGTTAAACAGGCTGAAACCCGGCGTGCAGGGGTACGGGTGTACAGGGGTACACCTCATGCACAGAGCTGAGCTCCAGACTTGTCTCCCTTCGCAGATTGCCTGTGCTCCACTCCGTTTTCGAGGTGCTGGTGGGGAGAAGGGAGCTCCAAACCCAGATGCACAGCTCAGCTCTCACTGATGTTTTCTCTTTGCTGAAGGACCAGCTTGCCCCAGCCCAAAAGCACAAGTACCTCAATTCTGGACACAGCCAAATCACCGAGCAGCTGCAACACAAGTGCAGTGTCAGGAACACTGAATAAGGACACAAACAAATCCAAATCACGTGTCAAAACAGGGTGAGCACCCAGCTCAGCTGAGGGTCGTCCTGGGGGTCTAACCGGGACAGTGCAAGACTCACCCTACAGCAACCAGCAGCTGCCTTACCCAAAACTGAGCCACTGAGCGGGTGAGCTCGGTCACCCCATGAGAGTGCCAGGGCAGGTGGATGAGCCTGAACTCCCTTCAGGGGTGTTGTTCACATTGGGACTGAACCCAACACAGGTTTAGCGTGGCAGGACCCGTGAAGGCAGCTCAGGAAAGAAGGCCAGAGCCACCGAAGCCTCAGATGGTCACGACTCCCCCAGAACAGCCCAAGTGGCTGTGGTGCAGCAGGGGGATGGCTCCGAAAAACCTGAGTTGTCCAGAGAACCTGAACTCTGTGGCTCCATCACCTGTGCCTGAGCAGGACAGAGCCACGGCCACCAAACCCCAACTCTGGCACCACCTTGGACTAAAGTTCAACTTAGATAAAAAGTTAAACACATATTTCATTTCTAGCACACTACCATTGAACCTAACTAGCACATTACACCACAGAATCATCCTGGAGTCACCTTGGGGATTGTAACTACACGCCAAAGTAAATTCTGGGCAACCCTTTTGATGCAACCTTTGAAAATATTTCTATTGGTAAAAATTCATGACGAAATTTGTACCAAAACTGATAGTGAATTAGAAAGAGTTTGTATAAAACTGAATGACTTTTAACTACTGAAAGCTGAGTTCTGAATGTCAGTTAGTCCTGGCTGTGCTCACGAATACAAAGCCACTTCATCAGCCATTGAGTGGATTGAGAAATTAGCTTGATTCTTATTAAACTGTTTTTGCAGAAGTCCAGCACCTACCACCTACTGACTTCACAATCCAGTTTTGTCCCCTTACAGATGAAACGTTCTGGAGTTACCAAATCTTTCAGTATTTCATTGCACTGTTTAAAACACAACGTGGTCAAGCACTGCCCTACCGATGAGAAGCTGCTGCCATTGACCACTTGTTGTGCTGGCTCTTCCCAAAATTAACGCGTACTATATCTAGAGAGAGCCCATATGTAGTGCACTGCATTTCTAAATATACTTAGTTTTAGCCCACTGCTGCCCTTGAGAAGAATTAGGTTAGTAGGGTAGACACACAGAAATGGTATTTCTCTTTCAGAACAGTTTGGTCTAATGTCTAATAGTTTTCATTAAAGAGGTTAGAGAGAAATATTATTACAGCATAGCAGCTATTTTTAAATGTTATGGAAGGAAAGCCTAAATAAAACGCCAGACATATGGTCACGTACATGAATTTTCTCTTCCTTTCTCAGTCAGCTTCACAAGAGCACGAAGTAAAGTGAAATAAAAACATAACTACACCAAGTGCATATAAAATACATGCACACACCAAAACACTATTTGTTTAGCCAGTAAAACAAACATTTGGTAACTGAAGATGGAGCATGCATACAAACCCTGCTGAAATAAAGATATAGATATATCTTTATATATATTTATACATATATATAAATCCTTTGCATGCTTCCCCACTCACTTCTATTTCCTGAGTATTTGGATTTGTTTGTTTTGGGGCTGGTTTCTGTTTGTTCGGTTTTGTTTATTTGTCCTTTTCTTAATCTCACACCTTTTCACTGCCATCCTACAGCTTTAGTTCAAAACTGGTGTCTTACACACAAAACTGAACTGGCTGCTGGGAAAAAAGTATCTGATGAATGGAAAAGGCTTTACATGAAGTCACTCAGAAACAAAACACACCAAGTATCACTTGTACTATTTTACACCCTTCAGGAGATAGCTAAAAACAAGGCAACAGCATAAATAATTAAGCATTATTCATTAAATATGTCTAAAATGGTGAAAAGCTCCATATATAATTCTGTTGAAACCCCATGTGCTTCACACCCGTGTCTGTAGGACCACGGTAACCGCACACCGCCCATCACCAACACCTTCTTACCGGTACCACGAAACAGTAACTCAACCACAGGTCTCGGGCGCGTTTAACTCTCTTCAGAAAGCATTAACAATCCTTCCAGCATTATTTTAGTGAAATGATGTGCTGCAGTAACTACCGTGACACTGGCGTTGTCAGAGGGTGACAGGTGAACACACAGCACCCCATCCGTCACCAGTGCCCACGAGACCCCGCAGGTCGCCTGGCACAGGCACCCATAGGAGCAGGTACCACGGTTCAGTGACAGTCACTCACTGCAGCTCAACCTGTAGCGTGTGGTAAGTAACAAGTAACTTCACAGTAAGTACCAGTAACAATCCCATTCTGCAGCCCAGTCTACTATTGGGCAAGGTAATAAGTATTTATGTGTGCAGCTGAAGTCACTATTAAATCATTGCTCTTCAGTTTACCACCAGAGCACCTCATCAGTAAGCTACATTTTTTTTCATATTTGAACACTATCAAATTGCATAAAAAAAACCCAAAGTGCTCAATTCTCCTGGCATTCAAAAGCTCTGATGGAATTTCAGAAAGGCTTACGGTCGGGGTGAACAGAAAACACAAATGTGGATGCTGGCGCTGTAACAAGAAACTTGACAAGTTTCACTCATTTTTGAAGTAGTCATGCAAAAATAAGGGTTTTACGTTTCCATGGACCCAGATGACAGCACACACTGTAATTCTACGTGAACGGCTGATGCTGCCCAGGTGCCAAAGGACGGGCACAGCGTCCAGCACCAGCGGTGCGGACCCACGTCTGCTGGGGCTGGACACCCTAAACAGCCCCATTGAAGCGTGGGCTGACTGGAAACAGTGACTCTTCACAACCTAAAAGGTAGGAGTCGGGAGCCTGTAACGCTTCCTGGAGTCATCTGGTAAAATTACAGCCTAGTGAGCATGCAGCACACACTGCACACACATCAAAGGAGCGTGTCCACCCTCACTGCTCCTGAAACTGCCCCCAGGCGTGGTTCTCGCTGCTTTTACACCCCCAGCACTGCCTGGAGACCTCAGTGAGAAATCACACAGACCAGGACACCCTTCAGTGGAGACTCCTGTCTGGTGTGTGGGCACAGCCGAAACAGCACACCCGAACCAGGCTGTGAAGCAAGCATGAACAAACCCTGAAAATCTGCTGATCTTACACAGACCAATGGCTCTGCACCTGGTTTTAATTCTCTCCCCACCCTCCCCTTTCATTTCCCTACTAGGGAGTTAGCAGGAATTAAAGATAAGGAAAAATACGCTCATTTCCTAAGACCATTCCAAAGTAAGGGCACCTCAAAGTTCAACCAAATAGTAAAAGCAGAGGAAGAGACTCTCAATGACGCAGTTTTAAAACAGCAGAACCACCTAACACAGTCCACTCTCAAGTTCTGAAATTAGGGTCACCAGGTATCATTACAGCCTAAAACA